TTAAGCATCATTTGAGGAGCCATACAGGAGAGAAACCTTATTTGTGGTGTGTTTAGTATTGTTCTGATCAGTTTAATACCTTCCGCGTCTCCTATCAGTGGGCGTGTATATGGCAGCCATTTTAGGAACCGTACACCTGGGACCCGAGCAAGGTCACCTCGTTCAACAGGCTTGCAGCGTATCCTCCAGGAAGAAGAGCCTGAACCCTTACCGGCTGCACGTGTCTTACCTGTACATGGAAAGCTGCTGTGGTTCCTTGATGAGCCAGCTGCCCGTGAGTTAACATGTCCCGTGGAGAAGCACTCTGTCCTGTAAAGCCTCACCAAAAAAAAGGAGTGGTGTGTTTAGTATTGTTCTGATCAGTTTAATACCTTCCGCGTCTCCTATCAGTGGACGTGTACACGGCATTGATTTTTATCTAAGCCGTAAACTTTTGCACAGCGAAGTATATTCACTGCCATTGAAAAGGAGTGCATGGCGGTGGTGTGGGCCCTCAAAAAGCTGCAACCTACTTGTATGGACAACCGTTTACCTTACTCACAGATCACATTAAATTTGGGGCACTGCGCGGTCAAGCTAATGTGACACCAGATAGTAGTGGTGTGTTTAGTACTATTTTTATCAGTTTAATACCTTCCGCGTCTCCTATCAGTGGACGTGTACACGGCATTGATTTTTGTAACAGGGAGATGGAAGAAGAGGCTTGGTCGGTCCTCTTACTGCAAATTTGGGGCACTGCGCGGTCAAGCTAATGTGACACCAGATAGGAGTGGTGTGTTTAGTACTATTTTTATCAGTTTAATACCTTCCGCGTCTCCTATCAGTGGACGTGTACACGGCATTGATTTTTGTAACAGGGAGATGGAAGAAGAGGCTTGGTCGGTCCTCTTACTGCAAATTTGGGGCACTGCGCGCTCAAGCTAATGTGACACCAGATAGGAGTGGTGTGTTTAGTACTATTTTTATCAGTTTAATACCTTCCGCGTCTCCTATCAGTGGACGTGTACACGGCATTGATTTTTGTAACAGGGAGATGGAAGAAGAGGCTTGGTCGGTCCTCTTACTGCAAATTTGGGGCACTGCGCGGTCAAGCTAATGTGACACCAGATAGGAGTGGTGTGTTTAGTACTATTTTTATCAGTTTAATACCTTCCGCGTCTCCTATCAGTGGACGTGTACACGGCATTGATTTTTGTAACAGGGAGATGGAAGAAGAGGCTTGGTCGGTCCTCTTACTGCAAATTTGGGGCACTGCGCGGTCAAGCTAATGTGACACCAGATAGGAGTGGTGTGTTTAGTACTATTTTTATCAGTTTAATACCTTCCGCGTCTCCTATCAGTGGTCGTGTACACGGCAGTAATTTCTGTAACAGGCAGATGGAAGAAGATGCTTGGTTGGTCCTCCTAACTGGAGACTGTGTAAAAAATGTACTTTGTAATGGGGATAAATGGATGGAAGTTCAATGTAGACTCTTCTTAATTTCTTCTTATCTTCAGTTGATTGATTTATATACGTCTTTTGTATATATAGTCTTGGGCCAAATGCTCGCCACAATAATATATGTCTATATTATTGAAAAGTAGTAATACGCAATCTGACTTACGGTTTCTTCAGGTTTATTCTTAGTTACGGATACATAAAACAACATAATAAATAATGTTACAGGATAATGTACATTCAACAGCAGATGGTAATTGCTGGACTTCTGATGGGAGAGTTACATCGTTGTACAGAGCCAAGCCAAGAGTGAGACCGACCTCGTGTCCCTCTGTTACTATATAGAAGTGCCAATACTAACGTCAGCATATAACTCTAGCCATATAAGGACAAAACCCCCCAATCCACATTCCAGAGCTCTCGGACAAAGAAAGCCTTGTGACTTATTGATACCATCTGTTACTTATGTCAATCCACACATCCATATATATATAATCAATAGAAACATAGAATATGCAATATTCTACATTCCCTCTGTTTATGGTTTGTTTTAAAACCATAACACAATGTCACTAACCTGTCCATTCATACATCACTTGTATCACATTCATTGAGCATAGAACAAGATGTAGTCACAACTTTCTATTATATGAGAGTTCTTAGAAGGTCGAGTTTCTATCCCTCATACTGCTTACTTTACTTCAAAACTCCCTCTGTTTTGATATCCATATCCATGTTACATCATAACTACTTGAACATAATATATACATATATATAACAATAATAAATGAATAAAATAAAGTATTTACAAATGTTTATCCAATAAACAATAAAGCAATCAAAAATATCTACCTGCTCAGCTACAGCCATGTCTTTGTAGTCAACAAAATCAAGATCGTAACTTTCTAAATAATAACTGTGTATCACTATCATATTCCTACAGATACATATAGCATAGTATTTTCATTCTCAATACCTGATATTACTTAAGTACTAATACATGTATTACTATAATATCCTGTCCAATTATATTTCCATGAATCATATGGTTTCTAGCAACCTTAAACTCTTTAGGTCATTTGTATTCATGAATTACATTCCTATACCATTAATACCATCTAGTGATGATTGTATCAGTACTTTACAATCATTGTATTTAATGTGAATATTCAATAGACTCTCACTAGCTAAAATATACCAACACTACTTATAAGCCTCATTCAAAGGATGTGTTATCAACCATGAAGTTCTATAATAATTCTTCAAATAATGTTCCTGGTGTTGACAATACTTATTGTTCTAGAAATTCTCCACCCAGAAATCTTTCTATCATAGATTTTGTTTTTGTTACATAATTATAATTTTCACTAAGATTCCACCTTGTAGTAACAAACTTTACATTCAATCGAAACATAGTTTCCTTTAAAAGAACTTGGAAAGAACAATTTAAATTCATTAGCATCACTCTCTTCATTAGCATTGTGATGACTTATTAATGTAATACATCTTAAAAGCAGGATTGTCCTAATGTTCTGACCAATCCGTATTCCTTTGTACACTTCAACTGACTAAAATAAAATAAACAAAACTTGGGATCATACTGCCCAGAAACTCTTATTCCTAGTCTGTGTCTAACAAACTCAGGGAAATCTTAAAACAATTCAATTCATTGGATACTTTAATATCCAGAAACCTATTGTCCTTAGTCCATACCCTTATAGACTTAGGTCAAATATAATTGTGTACTATACTCTTTCCATTCAATCCAATTCCTCTTGGATCTCTGAACTCTTATATCCAAGGCATTCTTAATGTATACCATTACTTAATATTAATCAATATAAATTATGCTTCCTTAGTTTTCTTCCTTATGTTATCATTGTTTGTTTTACTTCACCTCGATATAAACAAATTACTCCTTATAGTTAATCTATGAGATACTATTGAACTCAATCTTTGTGGTATTAAGTAACCATGATCCTTATTTTATCAACTTCATATTTTATCTACCTCTGATACTTCTCATTCTATGTATAGGTAATAATGTAATAGTTCTCTTCATAATACTATCCTTTCATAATTTTACTCCCTGTGTTATATAGCTATAAGTACTCTCTTTTGGTATTAATACTCATAACTGTTAAATAACTTTTCATTGTCTGTTTTCTTTGTTAATATTTAGGAATTGATATGTATGTTAATGTCAATCTTTTATTTCTTTGTAAGTCTGTTAATCTTCTGAATCAAATGAACTCTGTAGAATCTTCCATCACAGTTTGCAGATCAGATGAAAAGTCTCTTTCCAACAGTCGATGTCCAGTTGTCTGAAGGAATGCTTTCCTAATTTATTGCCACATGGATCTGTCACGCTTTACCTACATTAAAACAAATAACCATGTGCAGCATCAATACAATGGCTTACAATGTTTATATCTCATTATTATTATACAGTTTAACATTGAATTATATTGACTACACAAAACATACTAATTTCTTCTCATGAGATCTACCATCTAGTGGTCATTACATTTATGCCATGTGATGTATAATCTTTCTGAACATTTTAATTTTCCAAACTTTTTATTACTCATACCTTATTAATCATACCCCCCTTTTAAACTGTTTAATAATCTGGAGGTATAACCTAATCACATATCAGATGTTACAACAAAATATTGTTTTCCACTATACTTTAGCAATAGCAGCCATTTTGTCTTAACACTGGCACCATTTTGTCACATGAAACAAACTACAAAAAACATATATTGTTTCCTACATCAAATGTATTTGTAAATCTAGGTTTTATTCTATCAAAACTTTTGTCTTCTATGTAGTCAAAATATATGTATGTGTAGGCTTTGCAAAATATAGTAATCCATTATCAGTCATGACATTAAAATCTCATTCTCATGAATTAAATCAAAGATTTTAAATCAACCTCAGAAGTAACAAGGAATATATCCATTGTTTTTTCCTTCTGTAAAATGATTGGAGTTACTGTATAATAGCATACACCCAATATAACATTGCATGTTCCTAACTGCTACATTAGTGTATTTCATTCTGCCATATTTGCAAACTTGATGTGTATTTTTATTTTAATTAATTAACCTAATACTTTCTTATAACACACATAAAACAATGAAAAAACAGTACAGACTAACAATTCATTAAAACAACAAACTAACATAGATCTCTATTCTTGTGCTGTTTTTAATTCTGGAATCAGCCTGTGTACATCTGTTGGAACACATATCCATGCTCATTCCCTAAACTGATCATATCTCTTGAAGTTATCTGATTCTTATAACTTTCTGTGTTACACTGCATTGCTTGTCTGTCTCTTAATTTCGATTTAGCTAAAATTGCTTTTATTTGTCTGATTATCAGTTTACAAGGAAAGGCTTTAATTGATTTATCTCCATTTTCTCTGTCAAAATTTTCAATCAACAAATTTAATTTCTCATTTGCTTTTGATTTGATATCTCGGATAAAATATCTGCAAGATCTTAAATAATGTTGTTTGTTGCACCAAAAACAAATAACTTTAGGAGTTATATTTTGCCTTTGATTTGAACAAATTGGGAGGGGCTCAGCTGTCTGTATCACTCTGTTAAACTCTGTCCTAGAAGAAGAATGAGGTGTGTAAAATCTGCACTTCTTCCTCTGCCTAAATCCACAAGTCATTTTAACCCCTTCATTATTGGTTTCCCTCCTTAAGTTATCCAAGAACAAAGCTACTTCTGTCAAAGTGCTTTTTTCTCTAGCTAACACAATTGCAGTTGGATCTAGATCTTGAAATTTTTTCACAAATTCATTAATTAACTGATCTTCAGAAAAATCAGCAACAAGTCTATATGCACTTTCAAATTTTGCAAGAAAACTAAATATATCCTCCCCTTTGTGTGGTTTTAGTTTTTCCAACGTTTCAGTGTCTGCAAAATCATTCCCTGTTGTTAATTTTATTAATTGTGTTAATCTGTCTTGCTTATTTCCATATATTATTTCATCATTGTCCTCGAATTTTACAGGCGCGGTCAGCCTACATGCCATTTGAGTTGGCAGCCATATTTGAAATAGTCTATTCCTTTGTTCGTCATTTAGGCTGTATTTGTCCACATTTGACTCAAACATTTCAGCATTACTAAATGCATCCACTGACGTGTCATAAACTGGAATACATTTCACAATTTTCATTAATTGTTCCTGGATTTTCAAATTAAGTTTTGCAGTTCTGTCTTGAAATTTATATTTCTGCAAATCACTCTGTGAGGATACATTTTCAGTATCTATTGGTTCTGGGATTAGATTCTGTGCCTGTATTTTTCTGGTATTAACACACACTAGTTTAACTTCATTTCTAAGCTGGCAAATAAGATCATTTCTTAGTTCAACTCTATCCTCTAATTCACAGACTTTTTCTGACAATGTTCTCTCTGTTACTTTGTTACACTGGTCATTTAAATCTGATTTGTCTTCTGTTAACCCATTCAAATCTACTTCTTTTTCTGATGATTCTAAATTTTCTTGACCTGCATTACGTTTACAAATCAATGCATTGTAAGTACAGACTAGTTTCATAACATTTCTGATCTTTAGTTTTTTCTTATTAACAAACAATTTCTTGGCAATTTCAGTATTGGCAATTTCACATTGTGTGTATAAAGATTGCCACAAAACAGCATCTGAATAGCTGCTATTAAATGCAAACTGCAATTTACTTTTCTCTGCAATATCATTTATGAATTCCATGTTACTCACCAGATCAGTTATTTCTGTCTATTTCGTTGCTTCATCCACACAGCTGCGCAGTTCTTTGCTTGAATCTGGAAATTTGCCAATCTCTGCCACGTGCTTGCTTCTAGAATTCACGTTGTATCTTGTGCTTTTTGTCTCAGTTGTAGAAAATAGTCTTGTACAGTCTTTATGATTTGAAAACTTTCTTTTTCTTACAAACCACCGTTCTTCTATGCTAATCTAGATTCTTTTTTTCTCTTCAAGTTTGTTTTCCCAGTTCCAAAATAGCTTTGTAACTCGATTCTTCTCTCTCCCCCCTTGAAGTGGGAACAAAACTAGAATAGAAGACTGGCAGGCTAGCCAATGTAAAAAATGTACTTTGTAATGGGGATAAATGGATGGAAGTTCAATGTAGACTCTTCTTAATTTCTTCTTATCTTCAGTTGATTGATTTATATACGTCTTTTGTATATATAGTCTTGGGCCAAATGCTCGCCACAATAATATATGTCTATATTATTGAAAAGTAGTAATACGCAATCTGACTTACGGTTTCTTCAGGTTTATTCTTAGTTACGGATACATAAAACAACATAATAAATAATGTTACAGGATAATGTACATTCAACAGCAGATGGTAATTGCTGGACTTCTGATGGGAGAGTTACATCGTTGTACAGAGCCAAGCCAAGAGTGAGACCGACCTCGTGTCCCTCTGTTACTATATAGAAGTGCCAATACTAACGTCAGCATATAACTCTAGCCATATAAGGACAAAACCCCCGAATCCACATTCCAGAGCACTCGGACAAAGAAAGCCTTGTGACTTATTGATACCATCTGTTACTTATGTCAATCCACACATCCATATATATAATCAATAGAAACATAGAATATGCAATATTCTACAGACTGTGTTGCTGTACGGGTGGCAGGTGGAGCCATTTATAAAGTACACACTGCTTTATAAAGCCATTTATAAAGTACACACTGGCGGCTTGAACCCTAGTTGGTGGCGGATAAGTCACGCAAGTCAACAGGCATTCAGAGCTAAAATACAGCAGCGTGTGGACCATTTTTAGCCCAAGGCAGCTCATCTCATCAGGCCTTTTTTACATAGGGTCACTTGGCAGATATGGATTGACACCTGTCCTAGGGATCCCTGATACACACTGACACAGAGCAGAATAGGGACTGTTCCTCCTACATAGGGTCACATGGCAGATATGGATTGACACCTGTCCTCAGAGCCCCTGATACACACTGACACAGATCAGAATAGGGAATGTTACCCCAACATAGGGTCACTTGGCAGATATGGATTGACACCTGTCCTCAGAGACCATGATACACACTGACACAGAGCAGAATAGGGACTGTTCCTCCTACATAGGGTCACTTGGCAGATATGGATTGACACCTGTCCTCAGAGCCCCTGATACACACTGACACAGATCAGAATAGGGAATGTTACCCCAACACAGGGTCACTTGGCAGATATGGATTGACACCTGTCCTAAGGATCCCTGATACACACTGATACACACCTACTTGGATGGTATAGACATTTTTAGCAGCTCCTGGCCCGAACACCTGACCCACATAGGAGCCGTAATAGACCGGATTAGGGAGTCCGGACTGACCCTAAAGCCCAGTAAGTGCCATATAGGAACGTGTAAAAACCTCCCCAAGATAGTAGTATGGGCCCCAGAGTGTGAACAGGCCTTCCAACAGCTCAAGACGGCGCTCATTAAATCACCTGTACTTTCTTCTCCTGATCCAACTAAACACTTTCTCGTCCATACAGACGCTTCTATGCTTGGATTGGGAGCAGTACTGAGCCAAGTCGGAGCAGATGGTGGCGAGCAACCCGGGGCTTATCTAAGCCGTAAACTTTTGCACAGTGAAGTATATTCACTGCCATTGAAAAGGAGTGCATAGCGGTGGTGTGGGCCCTCAAAAAGCTGCAACCTACTTGTATGACAACCGTTTACCTTACTCACAGATCACAACAAATTTGGGGCACTGCGCGTGCAATCTAATGTGCCACCAGATAGGAGTGGTGTGTTTAGTACTATTGTTATCAGTTTAATCACTGTTACGTCCCCTATCCGTTGATGTGGAGCAAGACGCAGCAGCAGAAGAGGACTCAGCCGAGGAGGTTATGGAAGAGGATGGAGTAGGAGGAGTAGAGGAGGTGGCAGCGTACTGGCAGAGTACACGCTGTAGGGCTGACACACCTGCTTGAAGATAACTAACTGCTATTCAATCTATAACAGTGAAAAAAGTTTTTTGTTTTTAAATCCAAGCTATTGTGACACCAGTGAGTGAGTGGTGGCACTGGGCACAATATCCACTGTGAGCCTGACACACCCGCTTTGAGACAACTAACTGCTATTTAATCTATAACTGATGTTTGTTTCACAGGCAGAAAGTGCCCTAAAACATGGCGGCTTGAAACCTAGTTGGTGGCGGATCAGTCACGCAAGTCAACAGGCATTCAGAGCTAAAATACAGCAGCGTGTGGACCATTTTTAGCCCAAGGCAGCTCATCTCATCAGGCCTTTTTTAATCTAATGTATCGCCCAGTGTCAGTCCCTTCGGGATCCATCCCTCATTCATCTTAATAAAGGTGAGGTAATCTAGACTTTTTTGACCTAGGCGACTTCTCTTCTCAGTGACAATACCTCCTGCTGCACTGAAGGTCCTTTCTGACAGGACACTTGAAGCGGGGCAGGCCAGAAGTTCTATCGCAAATTGGGATAGCTCAGGCCACAGGTCAAGCCTGCACACCCAGTAGTCAAGGGGTTCATCGCTCCTCAGAGTGTCGATATCTGCAGTTAAGGCGAGGTAGTCTGCTACCTGTCGGTCGAGTCGCTCTCTGAGGGTGGATCCCGAAGGGCTGTGGCGATGCGTAGGACTTAAAAAGGTCCGCATGTCCTCCATCAACAACACGTCTCTAAAGCGTCCTGTCCTTGCCGGCGTGGTCATGGGAGGAGGAGGATGACTTCCACCTCTCCCCCTGTTAGATTCCCGTTGTGCTGTGACATCACCCTTATACGCTGTGTAAAGCATACTTTTCAATTTATTTTGCAAATGCTGCATCCTTTCATACTTGTTGTAATTCGGTAACATTTCCGCCACTTTCTGCTTATACCGGGGGTCTAGTAGCGTGGACACCCAGTACAGGTCGTTCTCCTTCAGCCTTTTTATACGAGGGTCCCTCAACAGGCACGACAGCATGAAAGACCCCATTTGCACAAGGTTGGATGCCGAGCTACTCATTTCCCGTTCCTCCTCCTCACTGATGTCAATGAAGGTATTTTCTTCCCCCCAGCCACGTACAACACCACAGGTACCAGATAGGTGACAACGAGCACCCTGGGATGCCTGTTGTGGTTGGTCTTGCTCCTCCTCTTCCTCCTCCTCAAAGCCACATTCCTCCTCTGACTCCTCTTCCTCACAATCCTCTTCCAGCGTTGCCGCAGGTCCAGCAAGCGATGCTGATAAGGCTGTTTCTGGAGGTGATGGTGACCACAACTCTTCCTCTTCCTCTTCCTCTTCACGCTCATCTACGGCCTGATCCAGCACTCTTCGCAGGGCACGCTCCAGGAAGAAAGCAAATGGTATGATGTCGCTGATGGTGCCTTCAGTGCGACTGACTAAATTTGTCACCTCCTCAAAAGGACGCATGAGCCTACAGGCATTGCGCATGAGCGTCCAGTAACGTGGCAAAAAAATTCCCAGCTCCCCAGAGGCTGTCCTAGCACCCCGGTCATACAAATATTCATTAACGGCTTTTTCTTGTTGGAGCAAGCGGTCGAACATTAGGAGTGTTGAATTCCAACGTGTCGGGCTGTCGCAAATCAAGCGCCTCACTGGCATGTTGTTTAGCCGCTGGATATCGGCAAAGTGAGCCATGGCCGTGTAGGAACGCCTGAAATGGCCACACACCTTCCTGGCCTGCTTCAGGACGTCCTGTAAGCCTGTGTACTTCTGCACAAAGCGTTGTACGATCAGATTACACACATGTGCCATGCACGGCACATGTGACA